GTTATGAGCACCATGTATTTGTGAACTGTGAATGCACGTATGTGTGCATGAACATATGACGTATGTATGTATGTATGTATGTATGTATGTAAGTAAGTATGTATGTATGTATGTATGTATGTATGTGTACGTAAGTGCGTGTGTCAGATATCCCGCGTCCCATCAACAGAATCCCTCCGATCAGTCAAGCTCAACGACTCAGCTTTGCAATGTGTGCATTCAGGCAGAATCACGGCGCATGACCGCTTCCCGCGGAAGGATGCGGACAAGCGACTGTGTGTGCTGGAGGGTCCCGAGACACGTTTGTCCAGCTCACAGTTGGCATTATGGTCCCGCTTGCTGTCGACCGCTTCAAGAACCCGATGCTTCCAGGGACCCTATTGTGGGGTCCTTAGGGGGTCTAGGGCCCTAACTATAAGGTCCTTGGAAGCATAGGGCAATGAACCGCTCCAGCTTCCCAACCCGCAAGGAGCTCTTCGATCAGGCACGAGAGGCGAGCTGCCGCCACCAGGTAGTAAGCCTGTAGCTGCACTGCAGCTCACTATTAGGGTTTTAGGGTTTAGGGCTTAGAATCAAGTTCTTCGCGTTTGCAGTTTGCACGTGGGAGAAAGTTTAACTCCGTGCATGCACACATATTATGCAGAAAGGCTTTTTTACACGACACATGGGAGTGCTATATGCGCACATGCAGATATCAGGTATAAACACTAAAAAGATAGCTTCTGCGCGAAGTGTAAAGTTTGTCACATGTACGCATTTATATATGTGTGTGTATGTATGCAAATTACTCGTGTGACATTCGTTCGGTTGTTCTGTCCAGACACTACCCTGACGGTCCAAATACCTGCTTATCATATACTCTCCCAAAATGGTAGCCTACATAACCATTATCCCAAACCCGAGTACCTAATTATTGGGTCCTTTGGACCCTTGGGGTTAAAGACTGTAGACTTAAGACTTAAAGTCTTCAGACGCACGCGCGCGGCCAGGTATACTCTACATGTACCCATGATTGCACACATACATGGATATGTCTGCACATGCGCATCAGCTAGGGCGGTGCCTTCTTCGAATCTGGAGGCCACCCGTCGTCACGGCACAGCATTGATGGTCTGCTGGCCACTCAGCCCCTGGCCAGGGCTGAATAATTGTTGAGAGCAGTCCGGAAAATCTTGTAAACTTTTATTTGCTAGGAATGGTTGGAGGTTAGACCCAGAAGGAAGGCAAACTTGAAATTAGACTCGTGCCGGGCATGCGGGTTTTGGGGTTGCGGACCGCTCCTCACGAGCTTCGATTGAGGCTTCTAGCGAGAGAGAGGCCCAATGTTGCAGCCTGTGGCTTGCAGCTTTTGCACCTGCTAGTGCGCCTCGGAAACGCAAGGCAAACGAGTCGCGGCGTGCTAGCTTGATGTTTAGGTTTTGTGGACGAAATAGCAGCATGGTGCAACTTGCGTTGATGTGACAGGTGTCCAACAGATTGAAAAGCAGCCCCCCTGTGCACATGTTTGTTGCTGTGCAGGAAGCAAAAGACTTATTCAAGCACAAGGGATACTTCTGACGTCGATAAGCAGCTTGTAAACAGCAACGCCATGTTCTAATTCAGTCAGCTGTGCATTCTCCCTTTCGTCTTTCCGACTGTCGATCGCTCCTATCTCCGGTCGCCATGGCGGCTCCTGTGGTGGTGAAGCCCGTGGTTGTGGTGGAGACGTTCCTTGGATAACAGGAACGAGACTGTACCTGGTTTACATACATGGCTACATACATATATAGAGACACAGACAGGCAGGCAGCCAGGCAGCCTGACAGACAGACACATATACATATGTATGTTTCTGTATCTATATGTATCTATACACATACCAAGGTAGAGGCAGATGATCAACACAAGCAGCTAAACACACATAGACAGAAGCAAGGCGCACAGACTGATTGATCAACCGTTGTTTGATCGATCGACAGATCAGATATATTGGACAGATGGTGTAGATGAGATAGGCCGGCGGATAAACAGACAGACGGATGGACAAATAGATAGGTAGGTAGATAGATAGACGTAGATAGACAGATAGAGGTAGACATAGATATAGACGTAGACGTGTACAACGAAATGGAGAACGATACAGATACAGGTCTCTTTAGTGTGAATGGCTTATGTGAGCATGCTCTTGTTTGTGTTCGCTACACGTAAGGCCGCTACAGCTATGGCCTACCTGTGTGTACTCTACGAATCGGTTGATGTCCATGAGAGGATCCTGATAGGCTTCGGGCGTACTCCGGAACATCGCACATAGAGATTTCTATAGAAAGTTTGAGAGGAAGAAAGAGACACAAAGCAACTTATACATTGATGTGGGAAGTGTTTTTGCGTTTGCCCGAACGCATGCAGAAGTATCTGTGCACATGTCTGTGTATGTGTGTGTGTGTGTGCGTGCATACAGGCACATACAAAGATTACGTGAAGGTATCTGCATTTCCGGGTGAGTACGCCAGTGGTTCGCTTTCTGCTGTGTCGGCTTCTGTGACGCCAGAAATCTGCTCTACCTGAACCCCCAAAAGTAGGTAAAATAATGGCCCAAAACCCATAAAAGGCTAGTATTCTACATACTTTGGGGGTCCAGGTACCCACATTTACCACAAACCCACCACCAGGTCAGAGCTGACGATCTCGGAGTACTTTGGCCGCGTAGCCTCCAAGCAGGACTCGGGGTTAAACATCATTTCAACAGCTGGTCGATTTCAGAACCTCGTGGATTAGACAACCTGATGATGTCTTTATCAGCTTCTCTCTCTCCCTCTCTCTGTGTCTCTCTGCCTCCGTCTCTATCCTTATGTCTATCATATACATGCAGAAATACATACATGCATACATAGATACATACATGCATACATGCATACATGCATACATGCATGCATATATATATATATATGTATATATACACACATATTCATTTGCTTATACATGTGGACATGCAATTACATGACAAGACATCACATGACATGACACTGCATGACATTACATGACATGGCGAACGCACAAAAGCATGCCTGCATACATGTTTACATACAGCTGCACATGAGTTGTTTTGTACTGTGCTGTACCGAACTGCACTGCAATGTGCCATAACGAACTGTACTGTTGTGCATCACATACATGTACATGTTTGTATGAATGCATATATGCATGTATGTGCATATGCATGCAAGAATGTGTGTATGTATGCATGTGTCGTGTGTGTGTGTGTGCATGTGTGACCGTACTGCACTGTAGGGCATTGTATTGTTTGTATTGTATCGCGTTTGTGTGTTGGTATGGATGGATGGATGGATGTAAATATGCATGTATGGATGTATGTATGTAACGTAATTCAATGTAATGTAATATATGTAATGTAATGTAATGTAATGTAATGTAATGTAATGTAATGTAATGTAATGTAATGTAATGTAATGTAATGTAACGTAACGTAACGTAACGTAACGTAACGTAATGTAATGTAATGTAATGTAATGTAAGGTAAGGTAAGGTAAGGTAAGGTAAGGGAAGGGAAGGGAAGGGAAGGGAAGGGAAGGGAAGGGAAGGGAGGTAAGGTAAGGCAGTGGCATGTATGTATGTATGTATGCATGCACGGGTGTACTTATGTATGTATCTAACTGTGTACGTCTGCATGTCTGTATTCTTGGTATTGGTATTGAATGGTATGGTATGGCACGACATGGTGTCCGAAATCGTATGCGTGCAGGGCCATGCTTGTTTGTTCGATGCTTCTTGTCTGGCCCCAGCGCTTCACATGTGTTTTCCAAGATTGCTTGATTGCTGGAGGATGCTGCATCTGTGGCGAAGGTAGAGGCTGGGCTCCAACATGCTAGGCATTCTTTGAGTCCGTTGTCCATCGTTTCTGCAAGCTCGGCTGGACAGGTACGGGCTGCAACAGAAGCAAGGTTTCAGACACCTTCCTTCCAGGCATGTCCCTTCGGGCTGAACTGCCAAGCGCCCTGTGCTTGTTTTGATTCGGGCCACTGCATGCGATCACTTCCTTGCATCCTGAGTACACTGTGAGTGAAGCGCAATTTCTCGGGGAAGATGCTGGCTGAAGCTGGAAGCTGTGGGCGCTCTTAAATTTAACGTGGAACCCATGACGGTTCTTTGAACTTCAGTCGAGTCCCCTGTGCCTATGAGCCTCATGCAGGAGCACGTGATCTGCACGGAAGGTTGCATCGAGCTCGTCTATGGCGAAGGTCCGGCCGCCGGCTGCTGGATTGCCCTACCCCTAAACCCTAAACCAAAAAAGCTTCTGACTTCGGCGAAAAGAAACGGGTCGTGCAAAAAAAAACACCAAAAAAACTCTAAACCTATTCCGACTTCGGAACGCCTATCCACCGTGCGGGCTTGCAGGCGACTGCCCAAAAAACGTCACACCTCAAGGTCACTTCTGCCATGTGTGTGCGTGTGGGTTTTTTCTGCTTCCAAGCCCGCAAGGCGCTTGAAGCGCATATAATGTAGACCTACGCTGCGAAGCAACTATTCAGTTCTGCCCTTCTGATTTCAACTCTCCTGCGTTTTCTGAGGCCAGCGCTGCCGCCTGGAGCAGGGTCAGGGCGCCTTCCTCCCCCGCGGCCTGCGCGTGAAATGGACCTGGCCAGGCTCACAACTGGTTCAGCAAGTCTCGTGAGTTAATAAGGTCAGTTCAGGGTTTTGGGCTTTAGGGCTTACAGGGTTTAGGGTTTATAGGGTTTATAGGGTTTCGTGAGTTCCGGTTTCCGTGGGCCAGCCAAGCTGCCATGCCCTGAATCTTGAGTTTTCTGCTCGTCTCGTTCCGGATCGGATACACGAGTTGCCGAAGGCCTTTTCAGTACGGGGTGAATGACAGTTTCTTCCGTTCCTTCAGACGAGGTGCACTTGACGCTCTATATATATATATACATATATATATATATATATACACATATATATATATTGTAGGAGTAACCAGGACAAGTAACCAGGACAAAAGGATCTGTTGCGAGCAGATGACCTTCGCTTGGCCACACAAGAGCACCCGCAACATGGCAGCTCGAGGACCCGCCCGCTACACGGTGGTTTGCCTACCAGCCACTCGGTCTGGTACTGGCTACCCACAGGCGGCCCCATTGTTGTTCCTTCTTGGGGTTACCTTATGGGATTCTATGCATGAACCCCAAAAAAGGAACTACTTTAGGACCTATGGGTAGTCCGAGGAAGCAGTTAGCTTCACTCGTGGGTCATGTCGTCAACTGACTTCAAAATTCCTGCACCACCCACATTGCATAACCGCATTCCGACCCAAAGCTCAGTCGGCCTCCCGGCAGGCAAATCCCTAACCCGCCAGGTGCCTACTATGTAGGGCCCTAGAAACTCTGGTACCCTATATAGTAGGTACCCGGGGGGTTAGGGAATGTTTGCATGAAGTCTGCATCCTCAGAGCCTTCATGACATGTCCTGCCACCATGACTCCCTCACACTGCCATCCCACAGAGAAGATCAAATCAAAACAAGAGGATGCCGGCTGGGACAACAAATCCTTGGCAATAAGCAGTCTTCCCCGAATCAGGTGAGCTGTAAGTTGCATAATCCAGCAGGGATGTGTCCTTCTGCGATGGCACGTGCTGACCTTGCACAAGTCGTTTAAAGTCGCACAAGCAGCGATAGAGCATTCCATTTTAGATAAAAGAAATGTGTGGATGAACCTGGTGTGCCTATGCCTGTTTGATCTGAGGCATTCTCGCCCGAGATGTCGAACAGCGAGGAAGCACCATCAGATGCAGCAAAGGTGCGCAACCTGGAGAGTGGATCGACGAGAAAGCCCAAACCCGGAGATGTAGGTCGAAGCCTGGACATGCATGATTCTCAAGGTTATGTGTCAGTACAGAGAGGCACAGCAATCTTGTGCATGATTCGGGCAAGGATGCGCTCCCTACAGAAATGCAAGATGTCGGTATGAGAGGCAGCAGCAGACAGCACGCTGGCCCCGATTGTCGTGCAGAAGGTGGACGTCGTGGATGCGCCAGGCTGCCTCGTGGTCAATAGACAGCCTGCCGCTGACATTTCTACGGTTATATCATGTCAATGCGATGGAACATGGCGATCAGTAAGTGCTTTTGGGGAGGGTTGCACATTAAACGTGCCAGTGCCCTTGCCTGCCAGGTGTGGGCAGCAGACAGAGATCCCAAATTATATGTCAATGTGACAGAAAATACAGCCAGGGATACGATATGCTCTTATCCTTTGCATGCTTCTGAGTGCCCACGTGGCCCTAAACCCTAAACTCCAGGCATGAACAAGCCCCCTGGCGTTTTGTGAATCCTGCAGGCATCACCATTACCGAGCACTTCGGGAAAGTCGCCTCCAAGGACTGACAAGTCACCTATACCATCTATACTTTTTTTTTTTTTTTTTTNNGGGGGCTCCTTATTATAAGTATACTATTTTGGGGGTTCCTTATTGTAACTATAGTACCATATACCCCAAAACCCTCTTCTAATCTTGATTGTTGTCATCTAGCGATGTAGAGAGGATCCAGCTCGCCACCCTTAGCTTCCTGTTGAAAGTCTGAAGCCGTCGTTTCTGAATTGCTTACTTGGAGGAGAATGGGACTTCGTAAATAAGGTTATAAGTCCTTTAATTGGGGTTATAAGTATAGTTACCCTAATTATATCCCTACTTACTAAGTCCCATGACCCTTTAAGTAGAACTTGCACTACTGAAGTCCGCACGGTAGTCCTGGTGCCGGCTTCTTCCCAACAAGCACCAGAAAGCCTTCCCGGACATTGACATCCCTACTTGGAGGTTCATGGGTAGTTAAAAGTGGGGTTATAAGTCCCCTAATATGGGTTATAAGTAGAGTTACCCTACTTAGAACCCCATTTCTAACTACCCATGAACCTCCAAGTAACCTTAACCCAAAACCAAGCAGGGTTTAGGATTTAGGGTTTAGGGTATGGCTACGGCTCAAGGCTGCCATTTTGGCTCAAGGCATTTCGGCTTCAGTTTCCATAATAGCGAGAGGGACTAGATTGCTATGGCTGAACTACCTGGTCAAGTGAGTCCTGGTTCTCCGGGGGTCACACAGGAGGACTCGCCAACTAAGAAACGAAAAGAGCTGGAGGAGGAGAATGACTCCGACGATCCGGATCTTCAATTGGATAGGATGCTTGGTGCCAAGGCCCAACCCCAAGAGGTGGTGCCTGCCTGGGCTCAGGGCTTGCAAAATTCCTGCAATGCGCTTCAGTTGTCCTTTGAGACCTCCTTCAAGCAGGTCCATGAGTGTATGGGTGGCTTCCATACAAGGCTCAGTAGCGTAGAAGAACAGCTCGCTAAACCTCACCACGATCCTCGAGTTGACGGCCTAGAGAGGAAGCTTGATGCTTTGGCAAAAGTGATAGAGGGGAACGGCTCGACAACCCCAGTTGCTCAGCCTTCTGCTCCGACTCACCAGGGACCAATTGCAATCACTTCGCATCCGTGGAGGAATACTTCCCCTGCTCAGGCCAGTGCTCCAGGTCCTTCGTCGGGTTTTTTCGATCCTTGGGCGGGATACCGAGCTACGACACCACAGTTGAGCAGTCATGGCTTAACAACACCCGACACAGACTACTCTCACCTGGTCGTTGGTGGGTGGAAGTTCGACACCCCAAGGAAAGTCATCACATCGGATCTGCAGAGATTGATCGGCACGTTCAGCGCTGAAGTGAGTAACCAGGTCGAGCGCTCCATTGTGTATGGCACCAGGGCGCAGGTGGCTCACATCTTCCTGAAGCCATTAGAGCATGATTCAGCTTCTGAGAGATTCTACGCTATCCAAGCCGAGTATAGCAAGAAGCTCGTCATTTCAAGTGGGGAACATGCATGGATCAGTCCCTCGCGAACCCCAGCAAGACGTCTGAAGAACAAGACTACGAGACAGGCAGGAGAGACGATATCTTGCTTGTGGGATGCTGGACAAGCACCAGAACTAGAGATCGGATGGCAGAAGCAGATCATCTGGCTTGGAGACGTCAGGGCTGCAGCGGCAAACAAGAGTGATCTCGTGGCACATCGGGATCATAGAATCTTCGCACGAAAGTTCGGAGATGAAGCTGACACCCAGTTCTGGTTCAATGTATCGATCCTCGCACAGATCTCAAAAAGGACTGATGCCGAAGCCGAAATTAAGATGCAGGAGTTCGTCCCCAACTGAAACAGGGAAGGACAGACAGCTGACTCGGCCCCTGAATTCCTCTCGGTTGACACATGGAATATACAGGGCAAATCATTGCATGCACTAGCGGAGTGGTTACAAGTTGTTGACCCAGACGTCGAATTTCTCGCCTTACAGGAGGTGGGAGGCACAGGGGCCATTGCGTCGCAAAGCCCTCCAGAGGAGGCGAAGCAGATGCTAGGTCCGCTTGAAGAATTCGTGTTCAATGATAATGACTTGGCTGATTACCACATCTATGGTACCACGGACTTGGCTTCTCATCTTGCCCAGGTGATTCTTCTTCCCAGGGACTCTGTTGATCATATCTTTCAGACTTGCAAAGGGGAGAGGTTGATTGGGGTTGGATTTGTTTCGGCTGAAAGTCTATGCAAGAGATGGGTATTTTCAGTACATTTACCTCACAACGACAATGATGATGAGACATTCCAGCAGAGTATCCGACAGGTTGCTGCATTTTGCAAGCGCCACAGGTCAGAGGAGACGATATTCGTTGGTGATTTCAACTGTGAGCATGGTAGTCCTAGAGCTATCGAGCTTGAATCAGTTTTCTCAGCACATGGGTATCAGTGTCTTCGTCCTGGTCGTCCAACGCGCTATGGAAGAAATTCTACTTCTGAGCTTGACTATACCTTTATTAGCAGGAGATTGTGTACACGTGTTCGGGGTCTGCCGGGGTCCAACATTCAAGTACACGATTCCTCAAGACATGAGCTACAAAGTGATCACTGCCGCGTGTCTTTAGAGTTGACGCTGCCTGCGAACAGACACCGTGGATATCGCAGAAGAAGGCCAAACAAAGGACGATGCGGCAGATGGTCTGTAGCCAGTCACCTTCCAGAATGCCTGGCTGGCCTGCAGCAGGGCTTCGGTGACCTTAGCCTCAATGGAAAGTGGGAAACCTTGAAGACATTACAGAGTCATGTTTGTTACCGCACCCCTTCGCAAAAGTATAAGGATAGCCCCCACCTTAAACAACTCTGCAGGCAACGACAGCAGTGCAGTGAATACGATAGACGTCTTGAGCTTACAAAGCTCATACTGGCCAAGAGAAGGGCAGATCGCCTGCAGTGGTTGCGGGACCTCGAACAGCGAGCATCGGATGGCGACGCGTCTGCAATACGATATCTACGTGAGCGAAGCCATAGACAGTCAGATATGAGCGGCATCATCTTGCAGTACGGCAGCACTGAGAATGCAGCAACCGCCATCCGATCTCACTTCGCAGAGATTTTCTCCCTACCAGTCGAGCCGGTGCACCAGGAAGAGATTCAGCAGATCTTGGATTCCTTGCAGTACAGTTCGGGTTCGTTTACAGTCAAACACTTTACGGAGGAAGAAGTATCAAAGGGGATCTTCAGACTTAAACCTGGCAAAACCTCTGGAATGTCGGGTATCTCAACAGAGCTACTTTCATCTATGTGGTCAGTACCTGAAGGTAAGAACATATTACTGGCTTTCTTGAATGACCTCCTCGAGGAGACTGACCACCCCAAGGATTTTCACGACAGCTTCGTTGCCCTAATTCCCAAGCTTCGGATGGTGACAAGCCCGGTTCAGATAAGGCCAATAAACCTGGTTGAAGTTTGCAATAAGCTCTTTGGTTATCTTCTGACTTCCAGACTGATTGATAGTTGGCCCCGCCCGTCGTGTCAACATGGAGCTCTTCCCGGTGGACAAGTTATGGATGCATTGGCTGCCTCCGGGTGGCAAGTCTTGCATGAGAGCATGACAGAGCAAAGAGGTATCTGGGTGAATGCTGACTTGCAGAGTGCGTTCGATTCTGTGTTCCACGTCACCTTGGCGCGATTCCTGCATGAACACACACCTCCTTATTTGGTCAGAGAAAGCCTTCAGCTCCTGAAAACGATCCTACAACCAAACCTCAAGTTTAGTTGGAAGGGAATCGACTGGGAAACGTTACAAAACCGTGGAATACAGCAGGGACACTCCTACAGCGCT